TTCTGTTTAGCGGCATGGATAATGTTGAGCGTCTTCCTGATGTTATCGGCTATATCCCTAGCAGGGACAAAACCCGTTTGATCACTACTGATATATTTCGCAATGATCGCTTTTAATCGATTGGCCAACATCCCAGTGTAGATTTTATAATCTGTGTTAACCAGCGAGATGGGTCTATAAGAGGCCGGTTCCGTAGGGTCTTTGTCCTTTTTTGGAATTAATATTACGTTTGCTCATTTCCAGGACTCCGGCATGCATCCAGAGATTTGAATCCCATTACAAACCTCTAGTAGCGGTGCTGTTATTTCCGGAAGGAACGCTTTATAGAATTCAGAGTTGAATCCGTCAGGCCCGGGTGCCTTCCTTGATTTCATGGATTTTATTATTACTTCCAACTCCTGGGACCCAAAGGGCGCCTCCAGAGTTTCCCTATCTTCCGCGGATAACTTCTGGATGGTTTTAAGGGACTGTAAAAATTTTCTAATGAGATCGAGATTCGGGTTTGTAGATGTGTATAGGTTGCGATAAAAAGTCTCCAAAATGCCCACTATGTCCTCTGATGACGACATTTTGGGCATTACACAGACCCAGTATGTTGCGATCCGTTTGTCGTTTTTTAATTTTCCAAGAGAGGTACCTTAATCTCTTGGGAGTTTTATATGTCCTATTTTGTAGATAGCGGAGATCTAGCTTGTGTAATTCAGAGGCTTCTAGCACCTCTAATTGTTTGCGCGCATCTAAGAGCTTTTTATAGACTGAGGAGCTGCACGTAGTTTTATGCCGCTGTTTCAGGACTTGAATGGTGCTAACAAGACCTTCTTTGAGAGCTTTGACTCTGTTGATAGGCAAATCCTATGGGATAAATTAGATGGGATGACTATAGACCACCGACTACTCTTTTTAATACGTAAACTCCACCAATCGAATACTTGTCAGGTATGACAAGAAGGGCTTTTTAACTCATAAAATACCTGCTTCAAAGGGTGTTAAGCAGGGATGTGTATTAGCTCCAGCTTTGTTTAATCTTTTCTTATCTGACCTCCCTACACATCTTGCAGCAACAGATGGGCATGCCCCTAAATTGAATTCTCTACCTATACCCATTTTACTGTATGCAGATGACGCTGTGGTTCTTTCTACCACTAGAATAGGACTTAAACATGCCCTAATGATGTTTTTCTCCTATTGTAAACAGAACTCTCTTATAATTAATTATGAAAAAACAAAAATCCTAGTTTTCTTTAGGGTGTGGAAAC